GGCGCTACATGCACAAAACCAAAAACAACGTGCCCTGGCAAGCACAAAACAAATTCCGTAAAGAACGAGCAGATTAATTATGAAGCAAATTCATTTGGTACACCTTGCAACTTGTTTTCCCTGTACTCGCAACCTGCTCTTGGACCAGAAAACTCAAGCGGCACCGACGTACATCGAAAAGAGAGGATTCTGTACGGCTATAATACAGATGTAGCTTATTTTGAAAACCTACAATAGGGTGAAAACCTAAGTACAGGTTCGTAATGCGAACCGATTATTCGCAAGAACCTTCTCACCCTTGGGAGCAAATATATTAATTAATATATTAATACTTACGAGCGAGGAGGTGGGTGTTGAACACGCCCTTCTTTAATGCAGTGAAGGTGTTCTTCGTGCTTCGTCTCCTGTCGACTGACTGCCCCCACTTGGCGAGGTCCCAACCAGTCCTTCAAAGAAGTCTCCTTCAAAGCAAGAGGATCAGGACCAAAGGGCTGCCTACGGATAGCCTCGAATGCCAGACGCTTACACTGGTCGTCCCGTTTTCGAGCATCTCTCTCAGTTGCTGACATGCAAAAAATTCAAACAATGCTACAAAAGGGTAGATGCCGGAGGGGCCCTTCTTAATATTTAATTATTTCTCTACGAATCATATTTGGAAATAAGGTTTTACTGCTGGATTACTTGTAAAATACTATGTATTGTATAGAACTAGTTCCACAGGTCCAGAAATTCACAAATTTCCAATTTGCAACGAAAGGAAGTTTTTGGAGCATTGAAAAAGTAGAACCTATATTATTATTTAAAGCTCATAAAAGCATAGTTAAAAAAAGGTCAAGTGGTACTATAGCGAAATCATCGCGGACACGTTCGCAGTCATTTCAGAGTATGCCGGAAAGTATATTCAACTTCTTCTGGGTCTAGTCTTATAGATCTTTTCATAGGTGTGTCTTTGGATCCATAAGCCAACATCAATAACTTGGAAGGGATTTGGCATAACTTCCATGTATTCTACCAACTGCGGCACACAGCCAAAGATGCTCAGCGCATGAAAAGAATGCTTCGTTTGTTGAGTTTTGATTACCAAGTAGACAGAAAAGGTTCTGGCAAAAAGATGTCTCAAAGCGAGCCGTTACTCAAACGGGCCGAAGGCCCGTTTCCGACAGAAGCCATACTAAACCATGAAAAGTCAGAAGGGATGGGCCGAAGGCCCGTCCCAAAGGCCACCGTCAGGCCAAGCTTGGCCCGTTCCCTGAACCGAGTTGCCGGTGGAGCGAAGTGGAGCTGGCAACTTGGTTTGGCGGAAGAGCGGGCCTAGCTTGTTTTAACTCGTCAGCAAAAGAAAAAAAGAAAAAAAAAACTGTATCAATTGTTCGTGATCAGATCGAATTTGAACATTACATCGTCCGGTTCGGTTCGTTTTAAGAATAATAAGGCTGCTCGTGTTCGTGTTCGTTCGAAGATTTTTAGACCAAATTTGTTCGAGTTCGCTTAAATTCGAACTATAACCTGTTCGCACATCTCTATCCAAGTGTAGGTGTCGCTTCCATAGTGATCACTAGTGGCCGTGACTGAGGGTGTTCTGCTGTAGCCTGGTTAGGTTATTGTTGCCATAATACTACAATACACTTAAATAACGATTTAACATGACTTTTCAAACATTTATTACGTTCCAAACGATTTTCCTATATTTCCATAACCATAAATTATTCCGCTTAGGACAAAAATTTATTTTGAAAATTGCTTCGAAACTTTTTTTTCTAAGAGTTGCGATATTTCTTTTTTATTTTTAAGTATAAGGTGGCATCGCATTGTTCTTATCACCAGCAAACTTCGCAAAGACCACGCAACCCAAAGAGTAACGCTGATTAGGATGTAGTTTCGTTTAGTAGATCAATCTCCAATCGACTTATGATTCGCCCGTAGATACCGTCAGTATTCACAGCGAACAGAGGACCAACGTTGCTATAATTGGCCAACTCTTCGTAGTGCGACTGTGCTGTCTTAGCGAGCGCTCGGAAAGTGTCTCGGACATCCTGTGCCAACAAAAAAATAAAAAAATCAACAAAAAAAATCACCATTTACGGGTGACAATCAAATACTCTTAATGCCTTCTGTTTCGGATAGTTTCCACACTGTAAACTCAGTTCTTTGACAAGTCCTTGTACCTTTAAAACAAAAATTAATAAAAACAAATTTTATTGACAAAATTCGCCAAAACTGCTTCTTGGGGTCCACTTAACTTTCAAAGAGAGCAAAACGGATAAAAGTTAACGGTGAAGAGAAGACGCTTTACTGGGTTACCCAATGTAGGGAAATAATTAGTCACGTCAATTTTTTAAGTATCGCCTGAACGGTAAAATATAGAGCCAAACGGCCTATCTTTTTGCTGATGAGTCCTTGTTGTTCGCCCTCAGAAGACACTACAGAAATTAGTAATTTTATCCACTTTTAGGACGTGTTACTTCTATTTTCTCTTTCACCCTCTTAGAAGGGGTTAAACGGAGACGCCGGCGCAGTTTCGTTATTCAGGGTTGACCTTGAAAATGTTTGGTCTGATGCTGATCTCGACGTCAGTCTGACACGACATTAATTGCATTGTAGCTCATCTTATTACCATTCACAGTAGAAAAGCGGGCTTAAAAGACTTTCAGCGTAGATAGCTTTTGCAAAAATAATTATGTGTACTGTATGCTCTTACCTCTGTCACCACCACAGTTCCTTGTTTCAGGGCGTAAAATGAGCACGGCACTGTTGTAGCTGTAAGATCCACGTTTACTGGAGTAGATTGATTGTAACGTCTGAGGTTCTCAGTTGTGCCGTAGTCCAAGAACGCCATATATTTTACTGTAAACACAAAGTATTGTGCGGTCACTTTGTATTATCTCCGCCTAACACTAAGCAGTTCCGGAGCAGCTGTAAGCGGGGGATGGGATGGGCGATAGCAGAGCCTATGCCTACAATGATCAAAAAGTTTCACGTCCTTCACGCGTTCATATTGCGGTTTTTTTGGTTACATGAATTAATTGTAATGTCTTGCTAAACGTACACTCGTCAAAACATTTCTAAGGCAAATGGGAGGACTGTCGTAAGTGTTTAGGACTAAGTTATCAGGAAACAGAAAAAACCTCTTCCGCATGATATCAAACTCAAAACAATTTAAAATGTAAGCATAGATCTTCTGAATAGATATGCAATTGACAAAATTCTTTCACCTGCTAAAAGTGACCTTTCACAAGCAAAAATCAGTTACGACAATAAGTTTTTGGTTCTGTTTTGGGGAAGAGTGGCGTATGTCCACTTACGACACATGAGATTCCCAATGGTTCTGTGGCAGACAGGCGTAAAGTCAACCTGCGACAAATTTCCCATCAAGGTGAGGACAAGGATACTACAGGAAAGTTAAATTTATGCTAGGCACACATCGTCTAGGTTTGTGACGGGCTTAGTGGATACTGGCAAAGTAAATATATTTGATTGAATAACTATTATTTCTTAGAGCATTACGTCGTAAGTATACTTGCTCCTCTAAAATTTTAATTGATAATGTGGTAAAGTGGCGTAACACGACGTACGGCATCTGATACTGCAAAGTTTCACAAGCCAAGAGGCGTCAGTGGACTTGCGCCGTTTTTGCTTTAAAATGAACCTCTAATTGTAGTTACGACATATTTTACCACTATCTACCTCCAAAACTATGCCTCTGACATGTTTTCTGATAGAAAGTAAATTGTAGAGCTGGACCGGCTGAATATGAATACGTTAAAAAGTCACTTTGCTAACGGCTTTGCTCTCGGTACCCGAAAAGATGAAGGTCATGCCCTTCTGTGACCGTGGTGGCGACCGTCGGATTCCACCCCGCTTTGTCGCTACAGAGGCGTCGTAAACTTAGGGGATGGTTTAGAGCAAATTTACCCCTTTTTTGGCTGCTGCGCAAAAACGAAAATTCCTACCGCGTTCCAATTTTGATCACAGGTGCATTTCATGACCCCCTAAGCTGCTGTAAAGCAGATTTGCCACCACTCCCCCCTGAGGGGCGGGACCGACACGTCCACAGTAAATCCGTCCACAGAATTGTCGCGAAGTGAAAACACGTCCACAAGTTTACATCCAATGATTTGGACGCAAATTAACAGATGCGTTCGTTACGTCCACAGTGCGGATGTACTTACCAGCCGTGTGATGCTGGTGAAACCAGCTCCACAAAATCTTTTCCATTAATCTCCTTTTAATTACATCCACACGGATGACGTTCTGCTCTCACTCTTAAAATCCACCAGTAAGAGAGTTGCAAGAGTGGGACAAAAGTCCTACACACCCAAGTGTAGGTCAAGCTTGTGCTACTCTGAAAACTCTTGAAAAACGCTCTATGCGTAGTACATTCCCACATTTGATCAAGCTGTCAGATTATCATCGAGTTAGCGCAGGCGCGGGGTATGTTGCTGGTTTGGGCTAACTGCATTATTGCCGCTCATATCCAGCTCTACACAGTCGCGGCCGAGACAATGTTGATTTTCATGCACTGATAAACCAAAATTGTTCAATTCTTTAACACTTGCAAGAGCACAAGCACAACTCCGTTGCACACTTACAAGTGTTGAACCGTTGATCGCTTAGTTTATCAGTGTAGAGGGGAAACAGGCATGCGGGCAATGCCCGTCGGGCATGCGTTTATTCTTAGGTTCGTTTGATCATTCCTGAGGATATAAACTACAGCAGCGACAATTGGCGCCAAATTTTGTGGAGGTATTTTCACCAACCTTCTAACGGACCGTAACTACATCCACACTGTGGACGTAATAATCGCAGACCTTAATTTACGTCCAAATCATTGGACGTATTTTCGCAAAGCGCTTTATTTACGTTCAAACTGCTGTTGACGCATTTACCGTGAACGTGTCGGTCCGCTACCCCCCTGAGGGGCGTAAATGTCACAGGGGTGGTCACCCCTTCCCTAAGGGTAGTTTTTGAAAATCGTCGCGTTTTCCACCGGGGACTTTCTCAGTGCGTCCTACACATTTTCAACTGAAGTTTCCAGACTTTTCCAAGCCCCCTTAGTATGAAAAATGTGGAAATTTCAGTTAAGGGTTGGAAGTTAAGGATAGTACAGCCCTCCAGGGGGTACTAAAGTGAAACGGGCACTTCGCTGTCGTTGCCCACGTCAAACCACGAGATTTCCCGTAGCGTACGAGATTTCAGAAAAACCACCCCTTTAAGGGGGTGGGGTTAACTGGGGGTAGGGGGTGGTTTGTCGGAGTTGGTGGAACGGGCCAAAAACCTTCAAATTGGTTCCTAGGACACCCGTACACCAAATTTTTGCCACTTCCGGCACCCCTTGTATCCTAACCTTTCACGTTCTTTTTTTTCGACTTTCCCACCTCCGTGATCATTAGGGGATGCGTACGGGGTGAGGGGTGTCGCACGTCATTCGCGCTCGAAGATGTTAAACTACACACATGGATGCATGTCTATGTCAAATCTCGACTTCCTAGGTGCTAGGGGAGGTAATTTAATCCAGGCGTAAAAAGGTGGACCGCTAAATGTTTTGACGAGTGTAAATTGCAAAGTAGAAACGCAAGCTGACAAGTTATCCGACAGGTGTAATCCAAGAAAATAAGAAAAAAATCCGGGCCAATCCTCGGGAAAACGCAACGTAATCTGGGGCAGTCCTAGAGAAAAAGCAACGAAAACCGAAGGATACTCCTCCAGAGGTAATCCGGGTAATCCGTTTTCCGGCTAACGCCAAGTTGCCCAGTCGTTTACTCCTCGGTGAATTTGTTCTCAGCAAAAAAACTTTGACTCCCCTAAAGGGATTGTAGGTCTAAATCGGATCAACTTTACCAACCCCAAATTTTAACTCCAACGTTGTGCGCAGCTTACCTCGTCCAACTTGTTGATTGTAGTAGACCAAAGTGTCGATGGAAGTACTATCTAGTATGTTCGCGAACATGTAGGGGAACAGACGCTGCAATAAAAAAAAAAGAGGGGAATTAACTTCAGACTATATTTGCTGTTGAATATGATGAGGCACCAAGTACTGACGAACAAAGTCGCAAAAAAGTCAAAGAACAAAAAAATCTCGTTCTTTCCATTAAAATGGCCTTTAATTTAACAGAAAGTCACGAATATATTAATAGGGTATTCCAGGCTATCCAAAACGGAAGTAGAGAAAAAACAAACTCACTGACTTTACTGTTTCCGTGATGGCTGATTGGTTGAGCTCATCACGTGTCATGACGGCGTTTCAGGTATGAAAAACTGTCAGGTTAGTTTGGAGCTCGCCTCCATATTTTGAGAGGTTAGAATCGGACCAAACTACCATGGCAATTTCTCATACTGGGCAGACGGAAACAGATTAATCGGTGAGTTTGTTCTTTTTCACTTCCGTTCTAGATAGCCTCGAACACACTATTGGCAGAGCAATTAGCAAAGCCCATTACTCCACTGGTGATCGAAATATTTCGTGCCTGTCTGGCCGTCTGTTTGTCTCTGGCTGTCGTCACGACAACTCGAGAACGGTTTGAGCTAGGTACGTGAATTTTTTATTGAAACTTTGTTTCATAAAAAGCAAGAACTGTATCGAATTTGAGCCCTCTATCTTAAAAATAGGGTATCCCTCTTGAGTGCGGAGCTGAACTAAGAAGAAAAAATTATAACGCTAACGCGTTAAAGGCCCCCTCAGAATTATAATGTTAACATTGGAATAATAATACTACAACGATTCATTACATCTTCGTATTTACGTACCGTGGTTAATTTCTTGTGCACTAAAAATTCTAAACAAATTGTTTATTAGAAATATTTCAAAGTTTAGTATGCTGATCGTTCAGCAAGCTAGCTTGCTCAAATGAATACCGTCATTACATGCACAACCCAAAGAGGAGCGGTACGTGGATTCAACGTTGATTCCACGTGGATTCGTGGAAATCTCGTGAACGTGGATACATCCACGGCATTTCAACCACCCTTGGCTTTGTTCTCTTGATCACTTTTAAATGCAGAACGATAACTTATTACTGAAAAGAGATGGATAATTTCCCCTTTTGTGACATTCGTTCATTTGAACTCGAATTGGTGGATATCACGTGGATTCCAGGTTTTTTCCGCCACTATGCATCACATATAAACCATAAAAAACTTAGGATAAGCTAGTAGTTATTGCTGAATGTGGTATATAATTGTACAGTTTTCTCGGAGAGATGCAGTTTGTTTTGTTTTTCACGTTTTATGAAATAACGTGTAAATAACGTGGAATCCACGTGATATCCACTTTACCGTCTATTCCGTTCAACGTTAAAAATAGTGTTCAAAGCTTTGTATACATAATCGAACAAATTTTTAGATTTTGTCAAGGAAGTACAATTATTAATATTTTTCAAGGCTATACTTCTGAACGACAACGCACAACGCCCTAAGCCAGAAAGCTGGCTGGGGCGCTGTGCGTGTGCTTTAGAAAGGGATCGGTAGCTGGCGTTCCTCT